ATTCACAATATGCTCCTTCAGAAACTCTCGGAGGCGAATGAGTATATTGATCTATTGGATTTGAATATGTCTTGAAAACTAAACTCAGTTCATTCTATTAGCTTTCTATCTACATTATCCTTCCAGCTTCCCATGTAATCTGCCTTATTTCTTCCGAGAATCTTCGTTATTAATACTAGTCAGTATTCAGTATTCACCTTATTTTAATCTATTGTACGATAATAATTAATTTTACTTAGTATTGTAATCGTATTGTATTGTAATTGTAATTATTCACTTTGTATTTAGTATTCAGCTTATTTTAATGTATTGTGCGATAATAATTAAATTCTATTTAGTATTGTAATTGTATTGTAATTGTATTGTAATTGTAATTATTCACTTTGTATTTAGTATTCAGCTTATTTTAATGCATTGTACGATAATAATTAATTCTACTTAGTATTTTAATTGTATTGTTATTGTATTTATTCTAGTGTCAAGCCACTGCTCGCCTCGAATAGCTATAGCTAACTGCGAGCAGTGGTACATCATATTTTGTATTTTCTCAATTTTTCTTAATAAACTTGAAACTTGAAACTTGAAACTAGGTGATCGCTTCTCTTATTCCTATTTTTGCCTTTTAATAGACGTTCAAACCAGGCTCAAGTTACTTAACGGGCAAGTCTAGGCAAACATTAGCCACAAAGGAGTGCAAAGGACCGCAAACGAATATGCCGAAGAACGTAGGATCTATAAAGACGTGGTCAGCAAAAATTAAAAGTACAGTAGACATATTAAATTCTGCAAGCAGAATACTACAATGCTGATCGTACTAGGTGAAAATTAACTCTGCAAGACATCAACACGACACCGAAAGAACTCAAAACAGAGCGGGATTGTAGCCATATAGACAGCTGTTTCGCCCTCTTTGGGGCTCGTCAGTATGGCGTAACAACACAGAAAACTCTGGTGAAAAATATCCGCGCACTCTGATTTAAGCCCTGACCTAGAACTCTCAACACCCACAGAATCACGCCAGAATTACGCCAGAATCCCGCTCTGTTTTGAGTTCTTTCGGTGTCGTCTTGATGTCTTGCAGGATTAATTTTCACGTAGTACGATCAGCATTGCAGTATTCTGCTTGCAGAATTTAATAAGTCTTGGCAAACATATTGTTCCTATTGTGTTCTTCCAAAAGAAAAGAAACGGCTATCCACTTCAT